TTAATTTAAAATTAAATATTTTTGAATATGTTCAAATAAAGACTTCGTAACGAGAGTGTTGTACATGCACCATTAAGTCCAACATTAACCATTAAGTTTTTTTATCAGTGAAATACTAATTTTTTCACAATTTTTAGCAAAAAAAGAAAAAAACATACCTAAATATTAAAAAAAAAAAACCCAAAATGAAATCAAATTAACTCTTCAAGCATTTTTTTAAGAGTAGTCTACTTCGGTAGTTGTTTTTCTTCTAAACTCACAGTTTTGCTTGTTAAGCTAAAAAGGCCCAATCCAAACAAGCCAATGGAAACATAATCAAACAATCAATCAATTACATAAGAGACAATAATTTAACTTAGTTCAGTCCAATCGACTTACGTCCACGGATGAGAAATAAGATCTACTAGTTGTAGAGAATTACAAATATACAAATCATATCAATCTCATTCAACAATCAATACTCATAGGCTCTCAATCTCTTATAGTCCTACGAACTATTCTCAACTTAAATAAACACAAACTCATGTGCACCCTTTCAACACAAACAAACACATGTCCATATGTACCCATTCATCATATCTATGTGGACCCTCTCAGTTTCTTCTAGTCCACTCACATGCACCATATAAATATACACACCTATAAGACATAAATCTCCAGTACTCCTATTAGATATCTATCCCACAAAACTTTATAACTTTTTTACATCTTTTTCTTATACCTAACTCTGTATAGACTTCACATATTTATAACCATTCAAACTTACCTATTAAGAATCCCTTTCCTCTTAGAATTCGTATTCTGCAAGTCAAATTTGCCTTTTAAAAATCTTTTTTCTCTTGGAATTCTTTTTCTACAAGTCTTTTTGTTCATCAAGCAATATCTAACAAATCTCAAACAAATTTATTATGGGATTTGAGTTGCTATTCCTAACATTGGTAGCATCTTAATGATATTATTAAGAGAACAAAAGTGAACAAAGACAAAAAAAGTAAAAGTTTTGGTCATAAAGGTTTCTTGTAATTGGCAGTCAAGGAAAAAGATTAGGAGAAAGAATTTGACAGCCACAAAACCTAACAAATTCAAACAATTAAGGAACTAAACAACAATCCTAGCAAATCTAGATAAAACAAATGGAGTCATAACACATAATTGTCTAGTCGTAAGTACAAATAGCAATTGCCCATAAGCAAATAACACAAGAAGAATCAAAGTAAGACAATCACAATAATACAAAAAAACAACCATACTTAGAAAGCATTCAAAGCAAAAAAAAAGAAAAAAACTGCCAAGTGAGTTTTTGTTGAGGGTTTGGAGCTTAGTTTTTTTGGGAGAGGTATTTACTTCTAGGTTTATATCAAGGAGGTGAAAAAGGAAATTTTCTATTATTTTTGGTTTGTTTCGACGGTGGAAAGAGGTGGAGATAGAGACGGCATTATTTGATTTTTGGTTTAGATCTAGGTGATCCTAGAGAGTTTTTGTAGAAATTAATTCAACTAAAAGATAGAGGAGACTAAAGAAAAAAAAATTATATATATTTTTTTGGTTTTTGGCATCAGTCATTGGAGATAGCAGGTGGTGCATGGCAACTGGCACAGTGGAGCCTAGTCGGTTTCTGGGTTAAAGCAACTAAACTTCTTGATTTTTTTTAGGTTAAAGAGAAGTTAGAGAATTCTATTTTAGATAGAGAAAAAAACTAAAAATGAGGTCTTAAAGAATTCCTTACCAATGATGAGTTTTGAATATTTTTGGATTTGATTGTTCTTAAAACTTTTTAAAAAACATTGATGAATTGTAATTTTTTAATTAAAAAAATAAAGTAAAAATAATATAAAATATCTCTTAGATGTTCAATAAAAAGAAATAGATATAATTTTGTAATGGCTAAAAAAAAGGAACCAAAAAATATCTAAAAAAAAGGATAATAGCATTTTCCTTTAAAGTTATGAAAGGCAAGGTAAATCTTATATTCCCCGTATAAAAGGTTAATGAATCTTGAACTATGGGTTTGAGAAAAAAAAAGCAAAGTCATTAAAACAATATTTGCTTTCTTGATGAGTCCCCCTAATGGTTAACCCAAGGTTCTTTTATATATCAAACAAGAAGCATTGTATATATGCAGGTCTCTTTCACACATGCAAAATCATTGTTATGCAACTATTTATAATTGGATAGATTTTTATTCTTTTGTACCATTCTAATAATTAATATATATACCTACATATAATTTGCCATTTTTTATCCAATTCTAAATTCATTTTATTCCATTTCTAAAAGTTTTGTTGGAAAATAAGCATATATATATATAAAGGGTTTATTTTTAATGCATTGATAATGAATTAAATAATTCCTATGTATATATATAAATTCAAGTGGGCATATATCTTCTGTTGGGGGAAGAATTTACTAACCACTTTGATTTCTTCAATATTTATTGACCTATCTTTGACGTATAAAATATTAAAAATTGCACATTAATAAATTTTCGATAATGACTGGATTTTATGACTTGGTTAAGTCAATTGCGTGTTTTATAAAGACTCAATTTTGGACATTAATGTTGCATAACCCTACCGCAAACACTAATCTTTTTACATGAGATGCCTTCCTATTGTTGCAACATGTATTATATCAAATAATTTACTCAAAGCAGTTGGTTTGAGACCTTCAACGTGGTTCCAAACTCATCATTCATTAACTCATGACAATTCTTCAATCAATTTTCTTCATTTTTTAACAAAGAAAACAATTTTTTGGTTAAAAAATACTTCTTTTCCTCACTTCTTTTGGCATGCAATAATAATTAAACCAGTTTCTTTTCCCCATACTTGCCCATAGCTCTTCTTAGAACAAATTATGAATAAACCTGTGTAAAGTAGAAACTGCAGGCACATTGGAATGGAGATTAATTTCATATTAGAAACCTAATATCAGTACCAAACTTGTCTTAAACAATTTCTGGTGACCATTTAAAACAAAGGGAGGTAATGATCTTAGAAGTAGCAGTTTTATGTACCTTTACTTGCCACGGGAAAGATTTGTTGTGCTTTATCTGGATTGTTGGTGGCATAATGTCAATATTGTCACCTACCAATCTTTTAACAACTCTTGTTTATTTTTCTTTGATCAAGTAGTGCAAGAAATCTGGCAATTTTCTTTTACCAATGTGCTTGACTGATTAGTTCAATGAACACAGACAGCACCAAGTTTCCTTTTAAAGTTCTCAGTGTAAGTCTGAGTAATGATATTCAATACTTCTGTTCAATTTAGAAGAGTTAAGTTCCAACAGATTCATCCCCAATTCTCAGACTATATTGCTTCTAGAATCTTTTCTAAACTACTCCGGTCATGCTAACTAAACGGTGGAAATGATCAAAGAAACGTTTCCAGCAAAGCAGGATTAAGTAATCTTACAAAAAAGTCAATGCTTTCAATGTAATAAGCACTAATGTCATATCGTAAATATCTATGAACAGTCTGAATAGACTTTTGAAACGGAGATTTTTCAGAGATAAAACAGAAGCTCCAAGCCCAACATAAATTTATTGTATTTGTGCTCCGTGAAGCATGCTATTTGGACATCAATTGATCATTAAGTTTTACATAAAATTTGTTGGCCCGTTGCACCAAAATAATAACGAATAAATTAACATGTATTACCTTAATTGAATTAGAGAGAAATAGGTCACCAAGAGAAACAACAAGTCTTTCCAACATTATAAAATTAGTACTATATTATGAAATTAGCATGATAAGATGGAAACGCATATTCAATTTTAAGATCTTGAACTGTTAAATAACTAACAATATTCAACTTGGATGGTGAAAAGTCAGGAATATGATATATGTTTTTAGACTGAATCATGACTACTTCCAAGACCATTTTTCAATAATTTAAGCATATAATAACTGCGTAGAATGAGAAAAATAAAGAAGGATAAACGATTCGAACTATTTGAAAATAATTCTTCCTGAAAAGTCTTTACGTGCTAGTTAAGGAAAATAGTGACCAGGTCATTGGTTTCCATCTATAAGTAGGTCTGTCTGTCATGCAAAGTTTCTCACTCTTCTCCAAAAGAATATTAAACAACGAGCTAATTTTGGAGTAAACATTGCTATTTTCCTTGTATATCATAATGACACGAGCAACGACTATTGTCAACTTTATTTTTAAGGTTAAATATAAAAATGGCATCTAAACTACACATTTTTTGTTACTTTTATATGTAAAAAATAAAATTTTTAATTTGATATTTTAATTTTTATTTCATCATCCATTTTCATACTTAAGATTAACGTCGTTAGTTAACTTGATTACGTAGCATTAATATTTAATATATAAAATGCTGACACATATTAAAAAGTTCAGTTAGCACCACATTATTAATTGTCACATCAGTGTTTAAAGAAATTTTTTAAAAATTTCACAAGAAACTTTTACATTGTTGTGATTTTTTTTTAATTTTAAGGAATTTTTAATTTTAGTAAAAGTTTTATCTTTTAAAAAAATTTTAGATTTTTTTTATGTTTTATTAAAATTTTAACATTTTTTGAATTTCTTAAGTTTTAAAAAAAATTTAATTTTTATAATTTCTAAAACTGTTTGATATTTTTATTTTTTTACAATTTTTTAAAATATTCCAAAATTTTTAAAACTTTTTTATAATTTTTAAAAATATTTTAAATTTTCTATTAGTGTTAATGTAACAATTAATAACATGACATTATCTAAATTTTTTTGACAAGTATCGATATTTTATTAATTGTTTTTGCCAAGTTAATAAGTTAAGTACCGATGTTAGTTCGAAATAATAAAATGGATAATGAAATTAAAAATTAAATATCAATTAATAATTTTATTTTTTTAAGTAACAACCTACAAAAAATATATAATACATAGGTTAATTTTATATTTAACCTTAATTGTTAATTGTATCTTATGTGACCAGGAGTTGCGTCGGCAGGTTTAGTTAGCAACTTGGATTTATGCCAAAGTCAACAAGAAGGTTTCATGTCGTATTTTAGTACTACAACAGACATAATATAATGACAGCAATGACTACTTCCACGACAAAACTGTGTTGATGTAAGCATAGGGAGAGGGAATTCGATGGGTAGACATGGGTAGTGGTTGAAGAACAATTCATCAGAAATTTAGAAGGAAAAAAAAATCGAAGCGGACTAGGTAAATCTTTCTTTGCTTCTTGAAATCAGAAATTATAGACTTGTTCAAAGACTCCAATTAATCTATAAATAGGCATGTTCTCAGGCAAAGTTTCTTATCCCTTCCAAAGCAATCAAACTTACAAGATTTTAAGCTAGAAACAACATTATCACAATGAAAGGTGCTCATTTCCTCCTAGCAATTTCTCTCTTGGCTCTAGCTTCCTCATTTGCCTATGCATCTGATCCTAGCCCTCTCCAGGATTTCTGCGTCGCCATCAATGACACCAAGGATGGTGGTATGTTCTATTTTTCTCTGTTATTCTTAAACTTACTTCAAATATGTGCCTAAAACAAAGCAACTGAGCAGGAAGCAAAATTCCTGGGCAAGAAAACTATATAAAACAATTTAAAAGCTTTGCTTGGAATAATGAAAATAACATATTTTTTCTCTTCATATATGCAGTGTTTGTTAATGGGAAGTTCTGCAAGGATCCAAAGCTTGCCAAAGCAGAAGACTTCTTCTTTTCAGGGCTCAACATCCCAAGAAACACATCAAATCCAGTGGGATCAACTGTGACTCCAGTCAATGTTGCCCAGATACTAGGACTTAACACTCTTGGAGTCTCATTGGCTCGACTTGACTTTGCACCCGATGGTGGCCTAAACCCCCCTCACACTCACCCTCGTGCCACGGAAATTCTAGTCGTTGTGGAGGGCACACTCTACGTTGGCTTTGTTACATCCAACCCAGATAATCGTCTAATCACCAAGGTGCTATACCCTGGAGATGTGTTTGTTTTCCCTGTTGGCCTCATTCACTTCCAGTTCAATGTGGGGAAAACCAGTGCCGTTGCCTTTGCTGCTTTTAGCAGCCAGAATCCTGGTGTCATTACAATAGCCAATGCAGTGTTTGGATCAAACCCACCCATTAATCCTGATGTTCTTGTCAAGGCCTTCCAATTGGACAAGAATGTGGTGAAAAATCTTCAGTCTAAATTCTGGTGGCCTAACAATTAAGGAAAGCATTTATTTAATCATACTTGAATTGATGTTGTAATTTGTCCAGGATAATGTTTGACTTGTTTGCCTAATTATGGTAACGATTTATATTTTGCAAAAGAAAAAAAAATGCTTATGTAAGCCTGTTTGTCAAGTATTGGATATTAATATTATTAATTATTATTATTATATTACTTTTACTAAATGATTTGTTTTTCAAATTTTTAGTATATTTAAAGTTTTGCGAGTGCAAAATAATTAAAAATTAAAGATTGAAATGACAATAAAAAGAAAATTAATTGTAATAAATATTTGAAATTATTGGATGCCGTTGTCTTAAATAGTTGAAAACTTTGACTTTTTTTATACAAAATATATGGTGGTGTTTTTTTTTATTTAAGTCAAATAGTCATTTTCATAAGTAATGTTACTTGTCTCTCTTCTTTTATGACGTCACAAAAATATATTTGTATGAATTTAACGAGATCTACTAATTATTCATACATGGAGTAAAGCTTTTTGGAGCAACTCATATAAGCCAACTATTGAATCCAATGACATTCATGGGTTGGTTAATCAATTTATAAATAAAATTTTTTTATTTGAACCAATAAATTATTTGAATATTAGGAGAAAAAAAAAGTAAAATAACAGTGGAGTGTAGTTGGTTTTTGGGTTGAGATAATTGAGGTTCTTCATTTTTTTAGGTTAAAGAGAAGTTAGAGAATTTCATTTTAGAGAGAGAAAAATATAAAAATGAGGTTTTAAAGAATTTTTTTTAACTTGTATATTTCTTACCAAATGGTGAGTTTGGAATGTATCACAGTCATTATTTAAATCACGAAATAACACCCGCAACGCCCGCCACAGAGCCATTATTTGAATCCTTATTAACAAATAAGTAGAGCATATTGTTTCATTACACTTGAATTGAAGTTGTGATTTGGTTGAGACTAGAAATACTGTTTAACGTACACTTTCCCATTTTATAACAACAATTCATATTGGAAAAGAAAAAAAAATTAAAGTGAAGGGTAATTTGCTTTATGTACCAATACACGAATATTGCTATGCAAACTTTTCTGTTAAGTGCTGACTCTTATATCTTTCTTTTTCTTAAACTTTTTTAATGTATTCTCTTCATTTGGCACATAATCTCTTATGACTAATTTGGATTTGATTGTTCTTAATACTTTTAAAAAACATTGATAAATTATAATTTTTTAATTCAAAAAATAAAGTAAAAATTAATATAAATAATCTCTTAGATGTTCAATAAAAGGAAATAGTTATAATTTTGTAATGGGTCAAAACAAAAAAAAAAAAGAATGAAAAAATGTCTAAAAGGATAATAGCATTTTCCTTTAATTTTTGGAAAGGCAAGAAAAATCTTATATTCCCCATATAAAAGGTTAATGATCTTGAATTATGGGTTTGAGGGAAAAAAAAGCAAAGTCATTAAAGCAATATTTGCTTTCTTATGAGTCACCTTAATGGTTAACACAAAGTTCATTTATATATCATAACAAGAAGCATTGTTTATGCATGTCTCCTTCACACATGCAAAATCATTGTTCTGCAACTATTTATAATTGGATGGATTTTTTTCTTTTACATATAAAATATTAAAAAGTGCACATTAATAAATTTTCTATAATGACTGGATTTTATTATGACTTGGTTCAGTCAATAACGTGTTCTATAAGACCTCAATTTTGGACAATGTTGCATAACCCTGCTTCAAACACTAATCCTTTTACATGAGAGATGCCTTCCTGTTGTTGCAACATGTATTATATCAAATAATTTACTCAAAGCAGTTAGTTTCAGACCTTCAACGTGGTTCCAAACTCATCATTCATGACTCATGAGAATTCTTGAAACAATTTTCTTCATTTTTTAACAAACAAAATAATTTTTTGGGTAAAGAAAAATGCTTCTTTTCCCCACATCTTTTTGCATACAATAGTAATTTAACCAGTTTCCTTTCCCCCATGCTTGCCCATAGCTCTTCTTAGAACAAATTCATGAATAAACCAGTGTACAGTAGAAACTACAGGCATCTTGGAATGGAGATTAATTTCATATTAGGAACCTAATATCAGTACCAAACTTGTTTTAAACAATTTCTGGTGACCATTTAAAAGAAAGGGACGAAATGGTCTTAGAAGTAGCAGTCTTATGTACCTTTACTTGCCACGGGAAAGATTTGTCGTGCTTTATCAGGATTGTTGGTGGCTTACTGTCAATATTGTCACCTACCAATCTTTTAACAACTTTTCTTTATTTTTCTTTGATCAAGTAGTGCAAGAAATCTGACGATTTTCTTTTACCAATGTGCTTTGCGGATTAGTTCATTGAACACTTAAAGAACGAAGTTTCCTTTCCAAGTTCTCAAGCCTGTGTTTAATATTCAATATTTATGTTCAATTTAGAAAAGTTCCAACAGATTCATCCACAATTCTCAGACTATATTGCTTCCAGAATCTTTTCTAAACTATTCCGGTCATGCTAACTAAACGGTGGAAATGATCAAAGAAACGTTTCAGTTAAGCAAGATTAAGTAATCTTACAAAAAAATCAATGCTTTCAATGTAATAAGCATTAATGTCATATCTTAAGTATCTGTGAACATGTCAGAATAGACTTTTCAAACTGAGATTTTTCAGAGATAAAACAGAAGTTCCAAGCCTAACATAAATTTATTGTATTTGTACTCCGTGAAAAATACTTTTTGGACATCAATTGATCAAGTTCTATGTAAAATTAGTTGGCCTGTTGCACCAAAATAATAAAGAATAAGTGAACATGTAGAGAAAAAATTCGCCACCAAGAGAAACAAGCCTTTCCATGATCATTAATTAGTATTATATTGAGAAATTAGCATGATGAGATGAAAATAATATGCAATTTTAAGATGTTTTACGGTTAAATAATTAACAATATTCAACTTGGATGGTGAAAAGTCAGGAATATGATATATGTTTTTAGACTGAATCATGACTACTTCCAGGACCAATTCAGTGCTTTAAGCATATAATAACTGCGTAGAATGAGTAAAACAAAGAAGGATAAAAGAGTGGAATTATTTGAAAATAATTCTTCTTGAAAAGTCTTTACCTGCTAGTTAAGAAAAATAGTGACCAGGTCATTGGTTTCCATCTATAAAAAGGTCTGTCTGTCATGCAAAGTTTCTCACTCTTCACAGAAGAAATATTAAACAACCAGCTAATTTTGGAGTAAACATTGCTATTTTGCTGGTATATCATAATGAAAGGAAGTAACTCTTTCCTTGTTGCTTTTGCCCTCCTGGGCTTTGCTTGCTCATTAGCCTCAGCCTTTGACCCTGATCCTCTCCAGGACTTTTGTGTGGCTCTCAAGGACACCGAAAATGGTGGTACGTGGGCATTCAGTTTATGTTTTCAGGATTTTTTTTTCATCATCATGATGCTAATAATGCCTGCGCTGAAGAACATTCAGCTTGGGAGCAATATTTTAACATAATAACATTACTAAAAGTTACTCTACTTTTGCACGGGATGATATATATCAACTAACATTTCTTTCGTGCAGTGTTTGTAAATGGGAAGTTCTGTAAGGACCCAAAGCTCGCAGAAGCAGATGATTTCTTCTTTTCAGGCCTCAACAAGCCAGGAAACACATCAAATCTAGTTGGATCAAATGTCACCACTGTCAATGTTGACCAAATACCAGGACTTAACACTCTTGGCATATCTTTGGCAAGACTTGACTTTGCACCTTATGGTGGCCTTAACCCTCCTCACATTCACCCTCGAGGAACTGAGATCCTAGTTGTTGTAGAGGGCACACTTTATGTTGGCTTTGTTACATCCAACCCAGATAACCGTCTCTTCACAAAAATCCTTAATCCTGGAGATGTTTTTGTTTTCCCAATTGGGCTGATCCACTTCCAGTTCAATATAGGGCAAACTAAGGCTGTTGCCTTTGCTGGTCTCGGCAGCCAAAATGCTGGGGTTATCACTATTGCTAATGCAGTCTTCGGCTCAAACCCACCAATCAATCCGGATGTTCTCACAAAGGCCTTCCAGTTGGACAAGAATGTGGTTACCTATCTTCAGTCCCGGTTCTAGTCAGATTAACAAGTTACTTAAGAGCCAAAATAAAACCCCATAAGTTTGTTGTTTGTTTTAAATAATGTTTCCATACATTTTCCTCATTAAAGTCATACTATTATTCTTAGTATCATGCAATAAACAGGTTGGTTGATAATGTACCTCCCCAGAGTCCAGTCTCCTCTCTCCTTGTGATCATTCTGTGTGGGCAAATTGGAATATATAGTGCAATTTTCACTCTCTCTCCTGCTCTTGTGCGAACATGTATGCTTATATGTGTATGCCAGGTCCAAAGCAGGACATAATTCTCACTCAAATGTGCAGAAATTGTACACAACTGCTTCATTTATGTTGCTTTTAGAAAACAGATCAAGTAACTTTCAAGCATTAAACCTTTTGTTCATTTGCAAGTCTCAAAACATATAACAAAAATAAGAGGTTAATTATCAAATGGTATCTAAGGTACGCAATGAATAGTGACAAACAATGTCCAAGAGGTGGAGATTTGGACAACTTGATTGTTTATGATTGTAATCTCACAAATCAGTTTATTACAGCATAAAAAGACTTGAGATGAATTTGCTGATTTTTGGGGTTAGGTCAATTTCATATTCAATACTCCAGACACTGCCTTCCCCTGCAAGATACACACAAAAGCTACAATGATAATTCTGAAGGTGGAATTCTGTTAAATAAGTTTGCATGGCTTTGATTGAATTTAATCATGTCCAATATAAATAGCCCTCACATTATAATGTAAGTTGGAAGACATGTAAAAAAGGGTTGTTGAGGAGCAGAACTTTCTCTCAGTTGCTTGTAGATGGAATTAGATATTGAACAGCGTTGTATAAGACTACACCAAATCTGTCACTGTCTTGATATATTAAGTGCAAATGTATTCTCTTTGCTGCTACATCATATAAT